GTGAGCTTCTCCTGACTGGGGCGGGGGCGAAAATGCAGCTGGGCCTCAGTCATTGTATTGCAGTCAGAAAGGAGTTCTACAGGACAACGGCTTCTAAGAGCAAAGGAGGAAGGGAACTAAATTAGCTGCCAGCCTTTGCCTTAGCCCTGGCTCATGACCCCCGCGACTTGCAAAGTGACACTGTCTGGCACTGGTTCCTGACCCTGCCCGCCCACTGGGACAGTCGGTGAAGCTCTAGTTATAAAGGTGTTTCCGACACCAGAGAGAAGCCAAGGACTGGACGACTGCAACGGGCAGGCCTTGGCCTTTCCTGAGTGGGAGCCCCCGGAAAGGCCAGCCTCGCCCACTGAGGGCAACGGGAGCCGAGTCACCACCTGCCCCTGGACAGCTGCAGAGCGGGAGCCCTGAGCTTGCTCCCTCAGAAGCCTGATATTTTACATCGGGGCCTACAGAGGTTCAACTCTTACCTGTGAACAAGTGTGGGAATTTAATTGGCAAAATGACAGCTTCTTTGAGGGCCTCCTTGGCCAACTCCAGCCCGGCCACGTCACTCCACCGGATGTTGGGCTTCTCCATCATGACGGCCCCTGCGGAGGGAGGCAGAGCCTTTGATCCAGAGCCCGGACCCACCGAGGGCCCTCATGTCCCGCTCCCACAGCACGGGGCCTCCAGCCTCTTACCCATCAGCTGTTCTTGCAATTTCTTTTTCTCTGGATTATCCCCTTCACTGTCACTATCGCTGCTGGGAAAGGAGACAGAAGATGACAGGCTAGAGCCGGAGGTTGGTAAGAGGCTCTCAGAGCGAGGCCAGGCTCTGCTGCCAGCAGAGGGGTAAAGGGATGCTCTTCCTGCTCAACAGAGGACAGACCCACAAACAGGTCCCCGAGCACCTTCAGGGACCACAATGGATCCTCCAGGAAACTCCCGGGACCCATCCTCATTTCTTCATTAAGGGAATAGAGAGACATGCGCTCCTTCTAGAGACTGGTGACGGACATGTGCTTCGGCTGGACTTCAAGAGCAGCCAGGGCCGGCTCAGTGTTTGAGCATCTACCTATGAACCAGGAGGTCAGGGTTCGATTCCCGGTCAGGGCACATGCCCGGACTGTGGGCTTGATCCCCAGTAGAGGGCCTGCAGGAGGCAGCCAATCAATGATTCTCTCTCATCATTGATGTTTCTCTATCCCTCTCCCTTCCTCTCTGAAATCAATAAAAATATATTTTAAAAAGAGGGAAAAACAGAGCAGCCAGGCAAGACAAGTAATTAGAGCCCTCACTGGCCTCTCATACAGACTCAAAACCAGACAGCAAGTGGCTCTGACCTGGAGAAGAGGTCAGTCTGGGTTTTTGCCTTCTTTTAAAAAAAAATATTTTTTTATTGATTTCAGAGAGGAAGGGAGAGGGAGAGAGAAACATCAATGATGAGAGAGAATCATTGATCGGCTGCCTCCTGCACACCCCCTGATGGGGATCGAGCCTGCAACCCAGGCATATGCCCTTGACTGGAATGGAACCCGGAACCCTTCAGTCCGCAGGCCGACACTCTATCCACTGAGCCAAACCAGCCAGGGCGAGGTCAGTCTTCTTAAGTCTACAGAGGAGCACTTGGAAAAAGAACACAGTCACTGCCCCCACCGCCTGGCAGATCCCTGTCCGGACATGAGGGGTTTGCCATCCTCACACCTCCTGCAGCTCCCTTGGAGGTCTGGCCTCCGGCCCCTTCCTTGGTGTGTCTCTCACTCAGGCAACCTTCTCTACCCAGAAGAGAGCCTCCCACCTCTGGGGACACAGCTGACACAGCACCCACCGCTCTCCTACTCAGACTTCCTGCCCAGGGTCCTCCCTCCCTCCAGCACCCCAGTGGCCTTTGTGCTCAGATAACCGGAATCTCCATGGTGGACAAACCACAGACGTGAGGAGAGAAACTGCAGAGGGAACCCTGGCTTTGGAGTCAGAAACACAGGCCCCGGGGGTGGGTCCCGACTCCATCAAGTTCCAGCTCCGTGACCGTGGCAACCTCTGAACCTCGGAGTCTGTAGCCTCGTAAGTCAGATGAAGATGTTAACTCCAATGACAGCAGCAGCTGACAGTTATTTACTCCTCACTGAGCCCCAGCATCTATCCTCAGGGCCTCACCCCATCATCTCATTTGCTCCTTAGAGGGAAGCCCCATTATCTTCCTCCTACAGACGAGGAACTTGAGGGCACAGGGGGCCATGGCACTTGTCCAAGGTCACAGACTAGGAAGCGGCAGAGCCAGGCTATACCCCAGAGTCTGGCTGCGGAATCCAAGGCTAGTCCCCTCCACGCTGGCTCCCCAGCCAGACCCAGTGCCGCAGTGTGCCCAGAAGTATTCTGTAAAGTGCGTGACGAAAGCAGCTCTGGGCTGCGGTGAGCAGACAGGCGCCATGGCTGTCCAAGGCTGCATTAGCGCCCACAGCGACAGCAGCACAGGACCAGGGCACAGGCTCGTGGGTCCCGGCCGGGTCCCCCCGCCTGCGCACTCACCCCTTGCTCTCACTCTGGTTCTCTTTGACTGGCTTCTTGCCGTGCTTCTCTTTGTTCCGTAAATAATCCTTCAGCTTCTCGGCCCGGTCTAGGTACTGCATGCACTTGGCTCGAATGCTCTCCTTGGCCTTGTCGCTGTGAGCCTCATCTGCAAAAGGGGAACGGAGCGGGGCCCTGTGAGCCCCAGGTGCCCACACTCCTCCCGCAGGGGCCTGGCGCCTGGGAGGGCCCGGGCGGGACTCACATTTGATAGCGTGTAGGAAATACTCCACCGCATGCTGGTAGAGCCGGAGCGCCTCCTCGTAATTCTTGGCTTTATCCTCTTCTGTGGCTTTTGTCACCAGATCAATGGCTTTCTGGAAAGGCAAAGCAAAGAGCTCAGTGCTTCCCAAGGGATCCAGAAAGCCCTCGGGTGCCAGGCAGAAGGAATACACTGACGAGAATTAGTCAGGCACAGACCATTATGCCGGCCTACTTCTCCAACAGCTAGAAAGGCCTTAGGAGGATGCTGAAAAGATAGCCATCAGCCTCTCAATGCACTCAATACAATGGAAGCAACTCCTCGGGCTTTGCTCTGAGCAAGTGGAAGCCTGGGAAACAGTGCAGGTCAGGGCTCACAGGGGAAGCTCGCTTTCTATTCCCGCCTCAGGGAAAAGACAGGGACCCCGACTCAGAGCCCGAACAGGGGAAATACCAGAACCAATGGATTCCTGTGCTGTTCAGCAGGAGGCCGGAAACCTGAGGCCAGAGAAGAGCCGGCCAGCGCGGAAAGTCCTTCATCGACCTGAGTTGTATGAGATGGAGTTAAAGGGATCTACGGGCCCAACCTGCTTCTCGAAACTGAAAAGCGAAGACGTTTTGTCAAGTTGACACTTAGGGAAAAGCGGCTTGTACACAGGGGTCAGTTCACCAGCATCTCCAGTACAAAAGTGCTTGCTTACCCCTAAGCATGTGTGTGCTGCCGACAGAAGGGCACAGCCCTCGGGACCCCTGAGAACTCTGTGGGAGTCTTCGTGCGGCTCATACGTCCTGGAGGCCGGTGCTCTCCCCGAACCTGAGCACGCTGGGTCTTTACAGCTGCCCACACCTACACATCCCGTTTTAGAAGCCACGGCTGCACCCGGGGAGCGTTACCAGATTTACCCTCCTCAAGAAGATACAGCACCAGACACCAGCGGCGGATCCCGCTGTCACACACAGCTCCGTCCACAGCAAACAATAACCCCACTGACCAGCTTTGGCAGGGCCCGGGCGTTTGTGCAGCCCTTCCCATCTGAGAGCAAGAAGCCTCAGACACAAAGACACAGATTTCTCTATGAAACTAACAGACGGGCAGGTGAGGCCAGGCTGATGTGAACTGGCCAGGTTAAAGAGAGGAGGAAAGGTGCAAGAGTGTAGCTACTATTTAAGCTTCAGCTCCATCCACTCCCTAAATAGAGAGAATGGCTAGGAGCCCTGCACCTTCTGAATGGATGAGTAGCTTAAACACAAGCGTCACTTGTCTACTCTCCCCCATCACAGCCCTTCAGAAACAACATGAAGGGTAGTCCTGTCCCTGGTGACTTCTCTTCTCCATAACCAACACCCCAGTTCCCTGGACTTTTTCCACTCTAGACCAGCGGTTCTCAACTTGTGGGTTGCGACGCCTTTGGCGGTCAAACGACCCTTTCACAGGGGTCGCCTAAGACCATCCTGCATATCAGATATTTACATGACGATTCATAACAGTAGCAACATTACAGTTAGGAAGTAGCAACGAAAATAATTTTATGGTTGGGTCACAATATGAGGAACTGTATTTAAAGGGCCAGAAGGTTGAGAACCACTGCACTAGAGCAATGATTTTCAATAGGTGTGCTGCAATACCTGACTATTAGTCAGGAGCGCTGACCTCTTAGTTTGCAGTTGGTCAAATACAAAAATGAGAGCAGCGCTCTCCCTCCAGGGAGCAAGCCCAGGCCCTTCCCTCCCCACTCCTCACCTCGAGAAGGGACCCCGTGAGACTTGCAACCAGGGGAACAATGGGCAGTGGCAGCTCGTCCGGGTTAACCCCTGAGTCCGTCTCCAAGGCTCCCTCTCCCCGCTTTCCTCTGACTTCCCCGTGAGCTGAGGCAGCCCAGCCTCGGCTCTCCTGCTTCTTCTTTTTTTTTTTTTTTTTTTTTTTTTTTTTTTTTTTTTTTAAATACTGATTTCTTTTTTTTTTTTTTTTTTTTTTTAAATATATTTTATTGATTTTCCACAGAGAGGAAGGGAGAGAGATAGAGAGTTAGAAACATCGATGAGAGAGAAACATCGATCAGCTGCCTCCTGCACACCCCCTTCTGGGGATGGAGCCCACAATCTGGGCGTGTGCCCTTGACTGGAATCAAACCCCAGACCCTTCAGTCTGCAGGCTGGCGCTCTATCCACTGAGCCAAGCCGGCAAGGGCCCCTTGCTCCCTTCTTGATAATTAACGCACCTCAGATTTTCCTGGCAACCGCATACAGTTTTTTGCATGCAAGAGGCCTCAGCTGCAATTTGGAGAGGAACAGTTTTGCATGACAGGAGGGTAAGGTGACCAAACTGCCAACCCTGCCTCATCTCTAGTAACGCGGGTATTGCAAAGGATGAGGCTGAAAGAAAAGGGCTGCAGAATCTCTGTAGCAACGACTCATCGCATCCCTGCCTGGTAGCCCTGAAGCAGCCACAGACAATACATAAACCAACGAGCAGGCACGTGTCCCAATAAAACTTCACCTGTAGACACTGAAATTTGAATTTCATGATTTTCATGTATCACGAAATATCCTTTCAGCCTTGTAAAAATGCCAAAACCCACATCATGTTACATGAAAGAAGCCACTCACAAAGGACTTCATTTTTGTATAATTTCCATTTACATGAAATGCCCAGAACAGGCAAATCTATAGGGGCAGGAAGTAGATGAGTGGTTACCAGGGGCTGGGAGGGATGGAGGGATAGAGGGGGAGTGGCAGCCACAGGGTGAAGGCTTCCTTTCGAGGTGATGAAGATGCTCTTAAAGTGACTGTGGCGATGGTTGCACAATCCAGTGACTATACGAAAAACAATGAAGTGTGCACTTTAACTAGGCCATTGGTCGGCAAACTCATTAGTCAACAGAGCCAAATATCAACAGTACAACGATTGAAATTTCTTTTGAGAGCCAAATTTTTTAAACTTAAACTATATAGGTAGGTACATTGTTATTAACTTAATTAGGGTACCCCTAAGGCTTAGGAAGAGCCACACTCAAGGGGCCAAAGAGCCGCACGTGGCTTTCGAGCCGCGGTTTGCCGACCACTGAACTAGGCGAGTTGTATGGTGTGTGTCATATTGTAGTAAAGCTTTTTTAAAAAAATGTGTGTTTTTTAAAAATAAAAAACATGCTTAGCTCACAGGCCATACAAACCCTGGGCAGATGGGCCCTGCAGGTGGAAGCTGACCCCCTGTTCCCACTCCCCTCACCTGAAGCCGCCTCCCTCCTCCACCTCCAGGGATCTGAACGCTACCTCTGATGATCCTGCCAGATGCCACTTCTTCCGTGAAATCTGGACCAACTCCCCGCAAGCCCTGCACCCATCGCCCCTCACTGAGCGCTGACCGGGGCGGCGGGCACCCTGTTGAGGACGCTTCACCGGAAATCATCACAGCAACGCTGCTGGGGACCCCAGGATCACGGAACCAGCCCAAAGGTCACACGCTA